TTTTTTGGGTTGTTTGTTGTTTTTGTTTGTTGTTTTATTTTAAAAAACAAACGATCCTTATCTTGAGTAGTTTGTGCACAAACCAACATGTCATGTTGCTGTTGTACCCAGCATGGAAGTGAACCTATCGAAGTGGCTTTGCGCAGGCACTCGGCATAATCCTTGCGAAAGATTTCTCTGTACGTGTGTGTGTATGTATACATACACCGCTTATTCCGAGGGTTCCCCTTCAGTCTGGAGGGGTTTGGCAGCGGATGCAAGCTGCCCTTGGGATGTTTCTGCGGGGCACCCGGAGCCTGCGCCAGTGCCCCGGCTCTGCAGCGTTTTTCTGGTGGGGAAAAAAAAGCGATGATCATCCTCCCTCTAGTGTCAGAAGGCGGAATTGTTGTGTGTGGCTTCATAGATCGTATGCCAGAGCAGGAAGCCTCCCATTCAAACAGGTTATTTAAGTGCAGTGCAAACATTTACTCCATTTAGACATAGCAGGAAGGGAAAAAAAATCATTCTGTATTTGTCAAGTATAAGAAGATTCTGCCCGTTCATACGACTGACTGTCCTGGGCATGTCTTACAGGAACGATAGAGGAGGAATGCCCTTTTTTTCCATCTTCTTTTTCTCTTTACACAGACACACCCTGATACTTTCGTTCGCAGTGTAATACCCTGCGTGTTGGTGCGATCCTTGTGGTGACGGGTTTGGAAGAATGTTTGTTAATCTTACCAAATGCTTACAAACACCCAAGGGTGGTTGACGAACCAACATCGAACGAAGGAGCGCCTCTAGTGCTGAACAGCAGTACCTGCCCTTGGCATCCTTGCTTACCCTTAGTGCCTGATGAAAAGCGTCTCCAACCTTGTCTTCCCAAGGGCCATGAAAGGTGAGATGAGAAACCAGGGAGCGGGTATGAGAAGTGTTCATGCTCTTCCTGCCCACAGGAGACTCCCTGGGGTGTTTTTTTTTTTTCCTGCAGAGAGTAGACAAGGGAAGAAAAGGATGGAGATTGAGACATTCATAGGCTGCTTTTGCTGCTGCTGAGGTGGCTCCTAACTTGTGATTTAGCAGTGAAATAATGATGTACGATAATTTAGAATGGTCTTTCTCTCTTCTAGTCGTAAATCTCCCTTCTTGCAAAGGAGAGGTAAGATGTCTTGCTTTCTACTTGCTGGATTCTGTCCATGTTTAAGTGGTTTGAATAGAGACAAGCATTGCTGCAAATACACAACTCTTCCTTTCTCCTCCACCATCACTTCCATCCGTGCCAGCAGCAACTCGGTAAAAATCCTAAAATACTTAGGCATGCAGAGAATCTAAATGGTCCTATGATAAAGAATAGGAAGAGCTTCAGGCAAACATGCCAAATAGGGTGGTTTTTATTTTTATTTCATGAAACTAGATGTGCCCTGGGTTTTTTTTCCCCTGTCAGTTCTGCCACAATGAGACTTCTTTTTCCTTTGCAGGGATGCGTAAACGTTTATAACTTGGTGCTGAGTTAACCAGTCGAGATGAGTGCTGCAGGATTTGTAACGCTGGTGTCACTGTAGAGGAGTCACTACATCATAGACCTGTTAAATAGCTTGCAAGTGCGAATTCAGTTCTAGAGTTTTTAAGCTGCTTCAAAAAGCAAAACTGGATACACAGATTCAAGTTCACACCCGGTTTCACACCTGCTGACTTGTACCAACGATGTTAGACAAAATGTGTCTTATCTGCTAGGCAACAAAGGTTGTGGTGTGGGGGTTTTTTTTGGTGTTTTTTTTTTTTTTTAAGTGACTAAATAGTCCAATACTTATGAAGTTCTTGGCACTGTGGAAAAATTATGGCACTTATTTAAGGGTTTGAATATGCAATTGAGCATCAGATTTTAAACCTGCACACTCAATAATATTGGACTTTGCTACAAAGTTACTTCCTTTTTATGGTATCTGCCAACTGCTGAAGTATGCATTAGTCCATTTGACACATTAATGCATTCTAGTAATGGAGGTACCTGATCAAGCAGCAGCCAAATGGTCACAAAATAGATGTCCTAGGTGAAATCAGAGACTATTGAATAAACAAGGGGGAAACTGCTTGCCTTTATCATATGCTGATGAGTGAAATCCCTGTCCTCTCATCTGACTTGAAAAACTGGACCCGGTTGGTGGAGCCAACCTAGCATTCCCTTTCATCGACTACCACGTGCATTATTTTCTGTGGTCTTGATGCCTTTTCCTCCCTTTCTTGGTCATTTTTGACAGGATTTTAATATGTTCCTCTAATTGTAAATAAGCAGATTCTGACTTGCTCATAAATTAAAATACTTAGCTATTACTATTACACTCTAGCGTTGCTGGTTATAACGAGATGCAGGCCTTTCCCAGTTACTGAGTGGAGCTTTCTCCCTTGTTGTTCAGCTGATCTGAAGCACTGAAGGTAGCTGTGTACTGTCTGTGCACGCTGAATTACTGTGGGCACTCCCCAGGTATTGCAGTTGCTGGTCTTTGCTTTACAGTATCGCATAACTATCACTCACTTGCCAGATTCTGTACACTAGATGCTCATTGAGATGGCATCTGAATATAGTCCAGTTATTCCCAGTGGGTAAGTTTGTTATCAAATCAGCAGG